ATGAATGTGTTTGTCTTCTTTATGTCAATGTTCCCAACAAGAAAATGAATCAAAAGTCCTAAATTCTAACTGCTTCTTAACACAGCTCAGGCATCTGGGAACCTTCATGCTGTCTTCTTTCTCTGATAATTCTATTATAAATATCCAGAATTTACCTGGACTGGAGGGATTTTAAAAGAATATGTCGCGTTTAGGTTTGCCTGTGTGTCTAACACTTTTCTTCCTGGTTTTGTTCTACACATGACTTGTACCATAGTTGATCTTCTTAATTTTATTAGGGTTGATCATTTCAAAAGTAAATACGCAGGTGTCCCGCAACAAGGCTCGGTTTCAGCGGTGATTTACTTTAATCTCGCACTTGCTGTTTTGAAAGACCTTAGAAAGAGATTTTGTAGAACATAAATTTCAGCGCTCATTGAAGACTCTGATAAAGCTGGCAAGGGGCAAAAATCATTATTTAAACCAGAAAATATTCTAAGAAAACACATAAACAAAATTCTAAGTGGCATGGAGTTACTTAGAAGACAGCCAAGCATTTAAACTACAGGGGTGTGCTTGGGGACCCATCTTTTTGGCATGCATTGCAGATGAATGCACTTCATGAGACATCAAGCTGTATTTCCCCGAGATGTACATCCCTATAAAAGATTGTGATTTGTGCTTCTTTATGTGACTAAGTAGCTGTAATTGACTGCAAGGGGACTTTGTGCAAAATCAGTGATATTTTCAGAAGGGTGGGGCACCACTTCAATGACAATAGGATGTGACCAATAAAGTTGAAATGTCTAGATGTGAGGACAAAGTGCTGGCATTGTTTATATTGTCAGCTACATTGCATGAACAGATGCCACTATTTTAAGTTTGAACTCCCTGGAGGATGATGTGTAAGGGTTTTGTATGCTGTTTTAGCTTGCCCTCTGGGGAGAACGATCATTTCACCATGGAATTGCCCTCCTCTGCAGGGAGTTGGTGGGGGTCCCTGATCCCCTGACGTCTGATGGATCTAGAAACGGGAAGGAGTAAGCAGAGGCCGTTGTGTGCGTCAGAAGTGTCCGCACATGAAGGTCACAGGGACAGTTTTTCAGCTCTGATCACCCTCTTGAGCTCCAGGCCCAAATTTCTACCCACTCGTTACATACTGATGGAGCAGACCCCCCATGGCTCAGCACACTAGTGACTGCCCCTAGGACTCCTCTCCCATGGCTGCCTGGTCTATCTGCTGGCTTCTTGTGCTCCACTCCTGCTTGTTCTTCCACCTCTGGGGTACCCCACCTCTGCCAGTATGCAGTAAAAGGCCATACCTGTTGGTTTGGGCTTTGTGGTCACTTTCCGACTGGCTTCACGCTTCCTGCCTTCATCCCTCTCCAGTGGCATCTGACTAGCCCCCTCTGTGCTTTCAGTCTCTCATTAAACAGATATTAACACATCTTGAGAGGTTATGCTGAGGCTAAAAATCTATTTCTTTTGCATGCTATATGAGTATATTGATGTAATGTTTGTTTTTTGAGTGTGTGTGTGTGTGTGTGTGTGTGTCCGTGCTGGAGATTGTGCCCAGTGCCCTGCACATAGTAGACAAGTGCTGTATCACTGAGCTACATCCCCAGCCCTTCATTTATATAACTTTATTAAAATGAAAACATTATAAAAATGGAAAACTAGTGATAACAGGGATTAGGAAGAGGGGTGCGGTGGGTGCCAGCTGGTGGTCACCTGGTGACGCCCAGCTGAACTAAAGGAGCGTGGTGCAGGGTGTGGCAGACCCAGCTGAGGATTGTTGCCAGCAGCAGAAGAGGCTGTTAGGAGAGGTTTGGAGGCTGTTCGGGAAGCTGTTTGGAGCAGCTGCTGGAAGCTGCTAGCTCTGCCGAGCTATTCTGCAAGTGGACCTTGCCATGCAGGCTTTCTTGGTGCACTTGGCTGCTCTCACCAAAGGAGGCGCTCGGGACCTCCCTGTTGCTAGCCACAAAGGATCTCTGGTCCTCATCTTGAGCCTTGCTTCCTGGCTCCAGAGGGGAACACTGCTCAGTCTCCTGGAGAAGCTTGTCGTGTTGGCTTTCCCGACAGGAACTCAGCTAGCCTCATCCTCAGAGGAGCTTGGGACACTTGCTGTCCATGGCTGTGGTACTTTTGGGGGGATCTCTGGTTCTGATCTTGAGGTCACTTCCCTGCTCTAGTGCAGATCCTGCAGCCTGCTGGCACAGACTTTGTAGCTTCCACCCCTGACCTCGGGCCTTCCAGCGCAGATCCATGAAGCGGGCCTGCAGGAGCTGGTGTGGGGGCTGTAGGCCTCCAGTGGACTGGTGGCAGGCCCTGTGAGGAGTGCTAGGGCATCCGCGGGACGCATGCAGGATATCAGGGTCCAGGCCCTCAGCTGGAGCCTTTGGTCTTTAGTGTGTGGACAGATCTCTAACACTCTTTGGATAATTCATTATAAATACAAATTCTTGGATAATTCATTATGAAATAATCTTAAAATGTATTCTGTATTGTATTGTTCCCCTTGCAAAAACCCCAAACCATGACAAGGAGGTTCTCACAACTGCATTCACAATTACCCTAAAATAGAAAGTTTCATTGAAACTTTGCCGTTTTATTAATCACTCATCAATGTTTTTTCAGTTACATGTTGTGTTTGTTGTAATTGTCCATCTTCTTACACACAGGCCACACCAAGATTTTCTTAGACATTTTACTGACCACCTAATCATTATCAGCATTTCAAAAAGCATCATTTCATGTTAGGAATAGTTTGATCAGCTACATAAAAAAAGAAAAAATGCACACATGTATGCCTCGTGAAGGCCCAGTCCGCTCCTGAACGAGAACCACACACACAGGACTTTGTGGCTTCGCCAGTCCTGGCCCGGACCCTCCCCGCGGGCGCCGGCGGCCGTGGCCTCCTGCGCTGCGCTGACCTTCTCCCCCTCTCCCCTCGCAGGACCTGCTCTTCAGCGTGTGCGCCCTCAACGTCCTCTCCACCATCGTCTGTGCGCTGGCCACAGCCATGTGCTGCATGCAGATGGTCTCCGCGGACATCCTGCAGATGGTGAGTAGCCCTCCCACCGTGCCCAGCCCTCTCCTGCTCGAGCCGCTCTGGCCCCGGTGTGGAAGTGGCTGCGTCCGCCTGGGAGCTTGTAGTGTGAGATGAGAAGTATGAGGAGAACGAAGATGAGGTGCCGTGAGGTCTTCGGAGGCCGCCTAGTGCCACACTCTGTGGGACGGAGCATCCCACGTGGGCCTGTGGATGCGTTCACTTTAGATACCACTAGTGCTCCATGTTGGCAGCATCCAGCCCCGATGCTGTCCTCCTGGAGGGCCCCTGAGAAATTTCAGTAAAAGCCCCACAGCTCTAAATGTCCTCTGGCCCAGCACCTCCAGAGCAAGGCACCTTCCTTTAGTAAAGGAAGTATAGAGCTGTTGGAAGATGAATTCTCAAACTGCAGCACTGCTAGTCTCTGCTCATTAACCCTGAGCTCATAATGCAGTGGCAGACCGGCGACATTATTTGTTGTCCTGGCCATTGTCTCATGCAAGCAGCACTGGGGAAGCCAGCACAGGGTCACACACTTATTAGCACACATTTGTAAACATGCACTGCACGAGCCATGAAGCCTCTTGCTTATTTCAGGGAAAGTGGGCAATAGCCATTGCTGGGGCATTGCCACGAAACCCAGTGCCGTGAGGAGGAACTGCCGGGAAGGTGCTCTGCGGTGCTCAGGCTAGGAATCTTTCTCTTGCTCTCTTTCTGTCTTTCTCTCCCTCCCTTTCTGTGTCTCTGTCTTCATGTGGTTTGTTTGTTTGCTTTTTACTCTAATAACAAAATACCTGACACTGAAGCTATTTGTAAAAGGGGCGACTTAGCTCGCAGCTTGGGAGGCTGGAGAGCCCAAGATTAAGTGGCTGCGCCTGGCTGGCTGGGGCAAAAGGAGGGAGGGAAGTGGGTGCGTGCGGAAAAGACCAGCCCAGCGGTGAGCCTCGCACCGTAACGTCTGCTCTGGCGGTAACTGACCCAGTGCGGTGCCAGTGAGAACTGCCTCCAGCTTGAAGGTGTTAATGTACTCATGAGAGCTTTGGCCCTGTAGCCCAGACACCTGCGAGTAGGCGCCACCTCCAGCAGTGCTTGCTTTGCATTGGGGAATCGAACTTCAACATGAGCTTTGACAGAGGTGACCCATAGTCAAGCCATTCTCTTCCCTTTCTCTCTCTCTCTCTCTCTCTCTCTCTCTCTCTCTCTCTCTCTCTCTCTGTCTCTGACCATCTGTGTCTCTGCCTCTCTCCACCTTTAAAAATGTACCCTGCCTTCCACGCAATACTTTATGGGTCTCATAAGGAACAGGCAAGATGTCCCTGTAGTAGGCTTGTTATTTTATTTTACTTCTCACCCACTACCTGACAGTACAAGTTCATCACAATAGAAGTCCACGGAGCCTCATTACCAAGATGTTAAAAATCCGTTGGTCTTAATCGTATGCCATGTGGCCTCCTCGTCCCGGTATATATCTACACAGCTGTCACAGTCAAGCTGACCTTTGCAAGAGGTTGCAGCATTCTGAAAGGTGTCTAATTAAGCAGTTATTCAGCAGGGTGAACTTCTGGCCTTCTTCGCTGAAGCCTCGTGTTGGCAATTTTCTCCAGCATGTTGTGTAAGGAAAGGTTAAGTACCATGGGGCTCTGCTCACCTCCGCAGATTTTACTATTGATCCGTAAATATCCCACCATTTTCACGGCACTAAAGGGCTATGACTGCTGAAAGTTTGCAGCCCCTAGATTTAAGCATTCAAATGAAAATTTCCAACAAAATAACAGTGCGGTGTGTTTTAGCTATGAAAGAATGTTGTAGCAGCAACGTGCAGGGTTATTCGGTGACACAGGGACAGTCTTGGAGTTCCGGCTCTGAAATCAGACACATCAGGCTTGAGTCCCACTTCTTTGTGTGACCCTGGACTTGTCACTAAGCTTACCTCTGTCTATTTCCTCACCTACAAAATGAACCCAATGGGACACCTGTAGTTGCCCAATGAGGGTGGTCTATGTTGACTTTTTTGTTGTTGTTTTTGTATTTTAGGGTGTTCAGGGTCTCACTACTAGATTAGACTCGTAGTGATCCTCCTGTTTACAGCCTCCCAAGAGCTGGGATTACAGGCACACACCACCACGCCCAGTCTCAATTGCCGTCTCAGTGTGCCCTGGAGGTCGGGCTGGCAGGGCAGGCTGGGGATCGAACCCTTGGGCCCTGCACTTGCTTGTAGGCACTTTAATCTGCTGAGTTATATAGCCGGACCCTTGATTTTTTTAATTGGGTTTTTTTTTTCGTTTTGTTTTGTTTTTTGTTCTTTGTTTTTCTGTGGTACTGGAGATCGAACTCAGGACCTTGCACTTGCCAGGCAGGAACTTATGCTGCTGAGCTATCTCCCTGACCCCATTTTATGAATTTTAAATTTGTTTATTTTTTTATTTACAGTTCTGGGCATCAAACCTAAGCTAAGTGAACTCTGAGCCACAGAGCTATGCCCCAGCCCTGTTTGACTTTTTGAACATGAAGGGAGCGTCAGCTGGTTTTGGGGACACCAGTGCATGGCTGCAAATGCAACAGTGCCTTGATATACTTTAGCAACTGCAAAGCACTAGAGAAAAGTGAAATAGAAATGACAGTAGATGTGTTTTAGTCTCCTGTTGCTGTAACAAAATACCTGAGGCTGGTCCTTCACAAGCGAAGAGGTTTACTTGGCACATGGTCTTGGAAGCTGAAAGTTCACAGAGCACAGTGCCTCCTTTTTCTCTCACAGATGGTGTCACATACTCACAAGAGGTGACTGTGTTATGGCATGTCAGATGCCATCATAGTAGAAGTAGCAAGATGGAGAGAGAGGTCAGCGTTGCTCTGTGTATCAACCTGTTCTTCCAGAAACTAGACCTCACCTTTTCAAGGGCCCAGCTCCCAGCGCTGCCACACTGAAGGCCAAGCCTCCAACACAGGAAGCTGTAGAGCACAAAACCACATCCACACCGTAGCAAGCTGCCCTGAGAAGCTCCGGCTGTTCCATCACAAAGTGCCCTGTGGGTCGGTTTGCTTCAACTCCCTGGCTTGCAGTTAGACATAATTGAGTTTCCTGGTGCGTCCTCCCTGTGCAGCCGTGCACTGTGGGGCCTAAAGGGCCTGGCCAGGCTCCGCTCCACAATTACGGGGCAGGCACAAGGATGGCAGTGTGTGACTGCGCTGCCCGTCGGGTCAGGGCGTGGTCGTGGCCAGCTCGAGACTGGGCTCCACTTGCTCTCAGTGCAAGCCAGTGTGTGCCCCCTTCTGTCTTCTCAGAGCTGCTGAGAGCAAGAGTCAGATACTACATGGGATGGACTTGAGACAGCCTGGTGGCTTGGGGAAGCTGGCTTTCGGCATGGGTTGGGAGGCTTTCTCTGCAGAGAAATGGGGAAGGTTGTGGTGTCCCCCAGAAGCTGGAACAAGAAACTGACTTGTTTAGGATGACTCAGAATTTATCTGTCTTTACTGCATTAGGTTCTGGAAATAAATAACATTTGCTAATTGAAACAAGCCAGCTTATGTAGCAGGAACATGTTTGTGAAGTTAAGAATCTCCTGCTCTAGCCACGTGGGAGAAACCAACGCCGAAACTTTGCGGGAAATCCTTCTGTCTATTCCCTCATTTCTTAAATTCTTAGATAAACACATACAAATGTCTCACCTTCCACTTCTCTTTCTCCCTTCTCCTTCTCTCTACTCCTCCCGTCCTCCTTTCCACAACTGCATCGAGATCACGTGTTATCACGCATTCATTGGCTTACAGTCATAGGGGTTGCTTTCTCTTCTTGGATCTTATGAATAAAGTGCCATATGAGTTCTGCTATGGATGTATGTGCTATTTTTCTCTTGGATATATATATGTAGGATCATAATCACGCTTCTGACTCTCTTTTGAGGAATTATCAGGCTTCTCCGAGGCGGCTGCACCTTTTCACATTCCCACCAGCAGAATATGAAGTTCCGATTGCCCTACATTGCTGCCGACACTTACCTGTGTTCTAATTGTAGCCATCCTAGTGGTTGGGAACTAGTATTTCACTGTGGATTCACTTGCATTTTTCTGGTGCTCGGTGACTGTCTATACATTTTGTAGAAATGGTTTTCAGATCCTTTAGCCATTTAAAAAATGGGGTTATTTTTTCATTATTGTTGTAGGAATTCTTTGTATATTCTTGATGCAAATACCTAACTAGATATATAACTTGCAAAAAAAACCTTCTCCTATCTTGCATGTTATCTTTTCATGTTATGAGGGAGAGAAATTTTAATTTAGGTAAAATCCAATTTGTCTACTTCTTTAGTTGGTGGTGCTTTTGGTGTCTTACGTGAGATGCTATGGCCAATCCAAAGTGATGGAGATGGTCTCCTGTGTTATCTTGTGAAAGTTTCATAGTTTGAGCTCTTACATTTAGCTCTTTGGACCATTTTGAATACATAGTGAAATAGGGCTCCAAGTATGTTCCAGGGCCATTTGTTGGAAACAAATCTTTCCCCAACAAACTGTTTGGGTAACTTGGTGAAAATCAATTGACCATAGCTGTACAAGTTTGTTTTTGGACTCTCAATTCTACCTCATTGATGTAAGTCTGCCCTTATGGCAATACCACTTAGCTTTCATTATTCTAGAATCATAGATTTTTCAACTGGAATGAATGAGTCCTCCAACTTTATTCTTCTTTTTTCAAGACTGTTTTGGAGATCCTATGCCTTTCATTTCCATATGAATTTTGAAATCAGTTTTTCAGTTTCTATAAAGTAATTGCAGCTGGGATTTTGATTAAGATTGTATTAAATCTGTGGGTCAATGTAAGAGTGTTGTTGTCTTACCAATAGTAAGCCCTCCAGCCCGTGAATATAGGCTGTCTTTTCATTTGGATATTCTTTAGTTTCTTTGAGATGTACTTTGTAGTCTTCAATGTATAGCTTCTTTGTTAAATTTGTTCTTAAGTATCGTAATATTTTGATGCTATCATCAATTGTTTTCCTAATTTTCTTTGAGGCTACTCATTG